TTTTCATTTTTCAGTTTTCATCAATTAAAGTTATTAAAAGGAGGGTAAATTTTTGTTATTCAGTTACGGAAGCATAATTCTCAAGTTTACTTGTTCTGCAGTGTTATTTGTAGCTGTCAACCAATGTTTTAAAATCTTTCAATTTTCTTTGTTAGGCAACCTTTCTTCATACTAGTTATGTGGCTTTGAGTAACAGTGTCGTTCATATGAGCGGGGCCTTGTATGCTGCTTTTGAACAAGTTCTTTTGCGTTTCTGGATGTGGAACTGCCCTCACGAAATGTTTATTTTGAGTAATCAGCTTATTGGTAAGTTATTTTTCCTCGTCGACTTTACCACTGTAGTAGTACAGGGACACGGGATAATATTTTTTGAAAGGTAGATGTAACGGTACAGTGATTACGTGATATTTAAAAGGGAGATAAAGTCTTGTTGGCATTACTTTTATTTTATTGCCATTATCTGCCAGTTTACAGGAAAACAAGGGAAACTTGCATACTTGATTACTTCTCCTGATACCTTTAATGATTTCCAGCCTGGCAATTTTAATGACAGGTCTGTAAATATTTCGCCAGAGCTGATGCGTTGTCTTCTCCTTTCCTTCTTCCGTGCTTTGAAAATTACAGGTTTTTCATTTTATTCAGTCACCAGCATCAGTTGGGACTACTTTTTTTTATCCAAGTTGTTATCTTTATTGATTTGCAGGACTGGAACTTCAAACTGAGGTTCTGCAAAGGATTAACAAAAACTTTGTCTGGCCGCGATCAACTAGTCAGACTTTCGCAGCCCAAATCCCGAATTGTACTATCGATGATGGGACAGATTTTGCTCAAATGGATGAGTTATGTCGCTACGTTGCACGTGATGCACATAAAATCAGAGGCTTGCTTTTCATTATTTTTTTAAAAATTATCAGCGCTTTTTCCTCTGTTAGATGAAAGTTTCTGTGCCATATTTATAACATCTCCTTCTTTTCTAAGTTGTAATTTTTAGAATTTTTGTACGCGAATTCTGAAGAACAAATAGTGAAATACTTTAATGAGGATCGGAACATGAATAATTTATTCTGCGTTATCTACTTGCTGATTTGCGAAACGAAAAAGTGCTACCCTGTATTTTTCAGGTACTTTTGCTTCTTATTAATTCGTTAAAAAGAGTAATGTTTTTTATGCGTTTTTCCGTTTAGCATTCTCAAAAACTCGAACGCTAAGCAAATAGTTATCATGACAAACAAGTTAGCTGACTATGTGATTCATACTACGAAACGAATTCCTCCGTCGGATGATGCTACTTTTACAACGGTATTTAGACTTTGAAAATTTAATTCTAGACATTGCCTATATGGTCTTGTGATCTTTTAATTGTAAGCGGTTACAGAAGCTTTTAAAGTGGAACACTGGTAGCTTTTTTAAAGCTAGGGTAAAGAAAATGAGAATTTTGATGGGTATGGCCAGATATAAAACTTGACCACATCGAATTTTTCTCTCTTACTTTATAATTTATATACCGCAGTTTTGAGTAAGATTCATCGAAAGATGGCTTCGCTTTCAAAATTTTATCGGGATTCCTTTCTGGTCAGTCTAATTTTCATTCAAGTGCGATGCCGAGTTTTAAGAAGCAACAGAAGTGATATATCAAAGTGGAGGATCTGGGTTAATTTAATAATACTTCTTTTCAGATGATTAGCGCTCTTAACGAAATGCTTTTCAATTACCACCTTGTATCCTTTGAGAAATTTTTACTTTCTTTTGTATTGCATCCGACAGATGACGACTCGACTCAAGCGGCTTTTGTGATTATTCATTCTATGGTAATTTCACACCTTCAATATTGAAAAAATAGACATCGGCATGGTTCTAACTTGCAGTTGCGGATCGTTTAATAAAACAAAGGTCTTTCACGTCATTCCGCACAGTTTTCTGACCGTTCTCTTAAGGTTTTTCAAAGGTTTTCTGATTAGGAATCTGGTTTGATCTGGTTTCAAATTCAATAAGCTGAAAAGAGAATTTGAAAGAATTGAGTGTTGGCAGTTTATGCCTATGGGTTATGCAAAAGCTTT